GGGGAGAGGGATTTCGGCAGTAAAGCCGGCTTGAGCAGAATCACGGTCCACAGTATTCCGAGCCGGACCGCGCCGAAAATGGCCGTAGCATTGGCGACAACACCGTGGGAAACAGCCTGGACATCACTGGGGACGGCACTGAGGACGACGCGGTGGGCTTCCGCTCCGCCGCCGACACTGTCCGACAGCCCGATTTTGCCCGCCACCAGGGTCAGGTTGGCCACTGTAGCCGCCAGATACAGTTGGAATCGCGTCTTGACCCTGCCGAAATAGCGGGACTGGCGGATGCCCAACTGGACCAGTCGGGCCAACCGGTGTTCCACCGCCACGCGTCGCGCTCGATATTCGTCGTAGGCGGCGCTCTGCTGCAACGCCCGTGCCTCCTGCAGGAGGCCTTCCTGGGGATGGATCAGCACCCGCCGTCCCTTCCTGCCCTTGGCTGCGATGCACTGGGACCGCAGTGGACATGTCCGGCATTCGGCCCCGTCGAACTGGAAGGCCTGCCAGCGGTATACCCGCCCCGCGGCATCCGTCCGCTTTCCCGCTGGCACGATGGTGTGGGTGACCTGTCCCGCCGGACAGGTGCAACTGCCCGCGGCCAGGTCGATGACAAAGTCATCCTTGGGAAAGTGCTTCCGGTCGGGCCGGCCTGGCACCCGGGCTACCAGCTTGCGGCCCACATCGGCGAAGGTCTGCCTGGTAGCTCCGTCCCCATAGGCGGCGTCGCCCATGGCCTCCTGCACCGGTACACCGGTGTTGGCCTCGCTCTGTTCCACCAGTTCCAGCGCCCCCAGGTTGTCCGGAGCGTTGCCGGGCAGTACCGCCACGGCGGTGATCAGCTGGGAATCGGTATCCACCACAATCGCCGCCTTGTGCCCGTCAAAGCGCCGGCTGCTGCTCTTGTGGCCGTGGCGCATCTCCGGATCATGCACCGACATCATCCGGTCCCGGCTCACTCCATCCTTGAGGCTCACGCCGCCCTCAACTCGTTCCACGTCCTGGAGCAGCAACTGCCCCAGCAACTCCGCCGCGTCCACAATCCGCTGCCGCTCCTCACCATTCTCGGGCAACTCCCCCTGCGCCTGCCGCGACAACTCCAACAGCCGGTCCGCGTCTCGCCACAATCCCGGCCAGCAGGGCTCTGCCGCGCCCGTTTGTCCGACCAGTCGATGGCGGCCTCGCCCTTGATGCTGGAGGCAAGGTACCGCCCGTATCCCTGGGCCTTGCCCATTCTTTGACGGTGACTTCTCCACTGCCGCCAGCGTCCGCAGCAGCTTGACGATCCCCGTCGGCCAACAGGTTGCAGGTGTCCTTCACCGCGCCCCGCCCCAGGATGTTGGTCGTGTCCAGCGCCACCTTCATGCTCCGCTTTTTCAGGTAGCCCGACTCCCGGGCCAGCCGCAGGCTGGACTCGAACACCTCCCGCACCTTGTCGTGCAGGATCAGCTGGGCGCGGAACACCTGCAGTGTGCTCTTGGCGAAGGGCCGGTCCTCCACCTCAATCCCCAGGGCCACTTCCAGCGGAGGTCAAAGTCAGCCCGGGCCTTGGCCTCGGCGTCGCTCACCTTGTCGTGGGACTGGAGCAGCAGCGCCGTCGCCAGCAGGCTGGGCGGCACGCTGTCCCGGCCGTTGTCCGGGCAGTAGAACTCGGCGAAATCGGCGTCTCGGAACAACCGGCCCCGCAGCGAGGCCAGCAGACCGTAGAAGGTGTCCCGCCCCACGTGGTCCAGGTACAACCGGTCCGCTTCCCAGAGACCCCTCTGATCCGATCGCTCTCCCAGCATTCTCCGCCCTCGCTACTCTTGTTGACTCCAAGTATAGTCGCCCACCCGGCCACCGCCACTTTCCGGCCAGATTTCTAGGGGTGGGTGACTCAAGATTCAGGTACCGGCCAGAGTGAGATGCCGGTCAAGATGAAGGGAAGTTACGTTCTGGTCTTGTACCTGCCTGAGGACCGGCTGCTGACCATTGGCCGGCTGGGAGCTTTTCAGTTTCCCGCCGGCCATTATCTTTATTTTGGCAGCGCCCTCAATGGACTGGAGGGGCGCATCCGCCGTCACTTGCGCCAAGAGAAAAAGCTGCACTGGCACATCGATTACATGGCAGCCGTAGCGGATGTTTATGAAGTGTGGTGGCTGGCGGGGGCTGAACGGGAGGAATGTGTCTGGGCTCGCCAGTGCCATGACCAGGGCGGAGCGGTAGTGGCGCGGGGATTTGGTTCGTCGGATTGCCGCTGCGCCACCCACCTCTTTCATACAGGAAGCGAGACTTTCCTGAACCAGTTGCGCGCAGCGTTGCCGGTCAACAAATGGACGAAACAGCGAGGCGAATTCCAAGTGGGCCAAAATCAATGCTCCCAAAGCAGTACACTTCGGGAGCTTCCATAGTGCATATGACTCTTGGCAAGTTCGGCTAGTCGTCCAGCCAGCTCCTGAATTTTTGCCAAGGCGACGGCCCTTGGGACTCGATGGAACGACCACGCCATCCCTTGCCCTGATTGACAGGCCGCGGCCTGATGAAAAACAGCAGGTAAGCGGCGGCCAGCCCTATCAGTCCCAGCCAGGCAAGCCATCCCAACCCTATGGGACTCAATGCCAACCCCAGTACCAATACCACAAATCCGGCCAAGGCCATCTTGCCCGGCGTTACGGACCGCCAGCGAGAGTTGGTCCCCTTGCCGGCCTGGCGCTCATCACGAGACCGGGGACTTTCTTCTGCAATGGGTCGGGGCAGGTCATCGATTATAGGTTGCGGCCGGCGCGCCGGCCGGGGAGGCTCAACCTCTTCAATGCCCTTAAGAATCTCTTCTATTTCGTCCTGATACTTCTCAGGCATAACTCCCCCGCCCGAATCACAAGTTAGCGTTGAAGAAAGATCGAGAAAAATAGCTGGTCTTTTCGCAAATTATACAAGACATTTACCATATGGGGAATTGCCGGACTGAGCCAAAACGCATATTGCTCATACATTGGCCCCTTTTTACCGGAGGGGCAGGGGTCTTGCGTCCCGCCGGTTTCCCGAAACTATCTGCACTTACCTCAACTGTCCCAGGGACAATTCCGAAGCATGTTCCTGCAGCCATTGGGCCGCCACTCGGCGGTGGCACGAATCCTCACCTCGCTCAAAGCAGAGCAGGGTAACGTCGCCCAAGGTCGGCAATTGCGTCAGCCACCGGCGCATACGGTAATCTACGAGCAATTTCTGGTCAAGGTTTTCCCGATATGCCTGGCTTAGCGCATCAAAGTCAAGGTCGCCCCGCTGGTAAGAGCGCAACAGTTCCAGGGGCGGGTAAAGGAAAGACAGCGTTTCCCATTGGACCTTGCGTCCGCGCGGGTGGGCGCGCGACACCCGATAGGGTTGCCCTACCCAGTCCTGGGGGTCGTAATAACTGGCCGTGTAAAGCACCAGAACTCTACTCCCTTCCCCCGGGTCAGCTTCCCTCGTAGTCAGCCTCGCTGTCAGCCGAAGCAATCCGAGAGCTTTTCCTCTGCCGCAATGCCCACCTTACCAGAAAGAGGCTGGCGCCGGTGGCGATGACACTCAAGTAGCTGATTGACCGGTCGACCACCACGAGAGCCAGCACTGCCGGGGTTGCAAGGGTGGATAGCTGCTTGAGGAGCCCAGCCAGGCCAGCCTCGACAGCGCCCACACCGCCAGGGGTTGGCACGAGGGTCAGCAGCGAATTGGAAAGCGTTACAAGCACAATCAGCGGGGGCGACAACTCAACGCCCAGGGCGCGGGTGACCAGGTACAGGCGAGCAATCTCTGCCAACCACCCAAGTAGTCCCCACAGGGCCGCCAGGGGGACCCGCCTTAAGCTTTGCAGGGCTCCCTCTCGAAACTGCCGGTATCGCAGCACTAGCCGCTCGGCTAGCCTACCTGGCAGCCAGGCAAGGAGACGCCGGACTCGAGCGCCTCCCTTTTCTCCTCCGCCTATGGCGGCAGTGAATAACATGACCAGAATCAACAGGCCCAGCAGGACGCCCGCGGTTGCCGCCAACGTCCAGGCCGGGCCAAAGCCGGAACTCAGCAAGAAAGGAAGCGAAAGCGCGAGCAGAAGGACCATAATGACCACGTCCAGCAGCCGCTCAGGAAGGATGGTCCCTACGGTCCGGACGAAAGGAGCGCCGGTTTCTTCGTGGTACAGGTAGGCCCGGTAAGCATCCCCCAGGCGGAGCCAGGCCACCGAATTGGCGAACCAGCCCAGGAGCACCATCCGGCTGCACTGTAAAATGCCAGCTACTACCTCTTCCTGACCGCGCACATTATTCAGCAGCAGACGCCAGCGGAGACCCCGGAAAAGGAAGGTAGTGTAGTGGATGACTACTGCCAGAAAGAGGTAGAACGGGTTGGCAGCGCGGAGGTGTTGCCAAGTCTCACCGAGGTCAGCGTCCAGCCGTGTGGCCAGAAATGCCAGAAAGGCAACGGCCAATACCAGGGAGATCAGGGTGGGTAATGAAAAAACCCGGCGGGCTATGGACGACGGGGCCCCCTGTTCCTGGTCAAGACGCAACCGGAAACTTTACTCCTAAAGGGGAGATATTGGTGCGGCTGAATCGCAAATAAATCGCGACTTACGTATCAGGGCCCGAATCCTGGAGGCAAACTCGGAAAGCCAAGGAAGCCTTGTAGACAACACCGATGTTGCCAGAAGGAGCCAGGACTGCCGGTCCCCTGTTAGTTACCGCGCCGGTTGACCGAGAGACTACTGCAATTCCCGAGGCATGGTGAAGGTTATGTTCTCCTCCACTCCCTCCAGCAGGGTCACCTTTTCCGGCTTCAAGGCGCGGATTACTTCTTCCACCAGAATTTCGGGAGTGGACGCGCCGGAAGCTATACCAACAACCTTAACGTCGACTACCCACTCGGGTCGCAACTCTCCAGGGCCGTTTATCAAGTAAGCGTGGACGCCCAGGGACTTGGCCAACTCCAGCAGGCGGTTGCAATTGGAGCTGTTCTGCGCCCCGATTACCAGGGCCAGGTCCACCAGCGAAGCCATCTTGCTCACAGCGTCCTGCCGGTTGGTGGTGGCGTAACAAATGTCGTTTCGGATCTGGGAGTTTGGAAATTGCTCCTTAATGGCGTCAATGGCTGAGGCAGTGTCACCGACAGACAGGGTAGTCTGGGTCAACACGGCTACGGGAGTCTCTGGATCCCAATCCGGCATTTCGGTAACAGAGTTGTCGTCCATCAGGTGCATGGGCGCCTGGCCCATAGTGCCTTTGACTTCCTGGTGCCCTTGGTGACCCACCAGGATAACCCGATGGCCTTCCCGATTGTATTTTTTGGCTTCGTTGTGAACCCGTGTAACCAGGGGACACACGGCGTCAATTACTTGAAGGTTGCGTTCCCGTGCCTGCTCAAAGTCTTCAGGCGGGGAACCGTGGGCAGAAAAGACCACTCGGGAGCCGGAGGGAATTTCCTCGACCGTTTCCACGGTTACGGCGCCCCTGCTCTCCAGGTCTTCCACAACGTAGGGATTATGGACGATCTGGTGCTTAACATAGATGGGCGGGCCGAAGCGTTGCAGGCACTCTTCGACAACCTGTATGGCGCGGACCACGCCCGCGCAAAATCCTCGGGGGGAGCAGAGTATTACCTCCATTACCATCCCTCCTGCGACTCCTTTACGGCTGTGTCTACCATGCCAGGTTTTTCCAGAGATTCAGGTCTGCATTGAACTAGGCATTACTGTCCGAATTAAATCGAGGTACTTGTAGCCGGAACCCGTGTTCAGCAGGACGATGGTCTCGTCGGCGCCAAGGAAACCCTGCTCCAGCAATTTCTTGAGGCCTACGAGGGTAGCTGCACCCTCCGGGCAGGCGATGATTCCCTCTTCGGTGGCGATTTCGTACATGGCGTCCACCATGTCCTGGTCTTCAATGGCCAAGGCGGTGCCGCCCGTCTCCCGAATCGCTTTGAGTATCAGGTAGTCGGCAAAGGGGCCGGGAACCCTCAGCCCATCGGCGACGGTTGTCGCGTTGGCCCAGGGTTCAGCGGTGTCAGCGCCATCGTTGAATGCCTTTACTATAGGTTGGCAGCCGGTGGGTTGGACGGCGATAAACTTGGGGGGTGTGCCCTCTATCCAGCCCAGTTCCAGCAACTCCTGAAAGCCCTTGTACATGCCGATGATGCCGGTGCCGCCGCCGGTGGGGTAGATAATGGCATCGGGCATCTTCCAGCCCAGCTGCATGGCGATCTCAAGACCCATGGTCTTTTTGCCCTCGGCGCGGTAGGGCTCTTTCAGGGTAGAAAGATCGAACAGGTCCTGCTCCTCGGCCACCGCCACCGCGATGCGGCCGGCGTCGCTGATCAGCCCGTCCACCAGGTTAAGCTCGGAACCGGCCATCACCGATTCCTTCTTGTTGGCCGGCGGCGCATCCTGGGGCATGAACACCTTCACCGGACGGGCGGCCCTCGCGCAGTAAGCGGCGGCCGCACCAGCGGCGTTGCCGGCCGATGGCATGGTAAATCCGGTTATGCCTAGTTCGGCGGCCTTGGAAACGGCGGCGGATATGCCGCGTGCCTTGAAGGTGCCGGTGGGGTTCAGTCCCTCTTCCTTGATGTACAGGCTCTTCAACCCGAGCTTCTTCTGCAGGTTGGTGGCAGCCAACAATGGCGTGCCACCCTCGCCCAGGGTAACGACGTGGTCGTGCTCGGTTACCGGCATCAACTCGGAAAACCGCCACATGTTGGAGTCACGGCTGGCAAAGACATCCCGGTTGCCTTCGCGGCGTAGGCGAGGCAGGTCGTAGCGGGCGAAAAGCACCTTTCCGCAGCAATCGCTGATCTTGCTGATCTGGTCATGGGGATACGTATTGCCGCATTGGGTACACTCCAGGTGGTCGATGTAACTGAACATTTGCCGGAATTCCTCCAGTTTCTTGGCCTTTCGCCTATCTTAACACTCCCGCAAGGCCATTATAAGACCCAGACAACGGCTTTTGTTGATATATAGTATTGTTAAAATCATCGCATCGCCATATAATTGGGCCAACTTTACTTGGCAGTATCCTCTGCGCCACCCGCAAAGGAGTAACCTATATCCAAGTTTTTAAGTTCCCTTCCCAATCCCCGTTTTGCCGTCATTGCCGCCGCCACCGGAATCGCCACCGTCGCGCTTCTGCTTGCCAGGCCAACCGCTGCCTATGCGGCGGGCGTGGACGAAGAAACCTCCTTTGTCTTCAACACCTTCGCTTTTCTCATCTGGGGAGCGCTGGTGATGTGGATGTGCGCCGGCTTTACGATGCTGGAATCAGGGTCGGTGCGCACCAAGAACGCCGCCATGATCTGCATGAAGAACATCGGCCTGTACTCCATAGCCGCATTGGCCTACTTCTTCATTGGATACAACCTGATGTACACCGAAGTGAACGGCGTCATCGGCTCCCTGAAGTTTCTCTATGGGCCGACCTCGTCCGAGATTGCGCTCATGGCCGGACAGGAGGGAGCAGCCGCAGACGTCTTGAAGAATGGGGCCGGCTATGCCGCTATGTCCGACTGGTTCTTCCAGATGGTCTTCGTGGCTACGGCGGCGTCGATTGTGTCGGGGGCGCTGGCCGAGAGGGTGAAGATGTGGTCATTTTTCCTGTTCACCCTGTTCCTGACCGCCATAATTTATCCCGTAGTGGGCGCCTGGACCTGGGGCGGTGGCTGGCTGACGCAACTGGGTTTCTCCGACTTCGCCGGCTCCACCATCGTTCACAGCACCGGCGGTTGGGCCGCCCTGGCCGGACTGATTGTAGTGGGACCGCGGCTGGGCAAGTTTCGTCGCGACGGCACGGCACGGCCCACGCCGCCGTCAAACATCCTGGTGGTGACCCTGGGTGTGTTTATCCTCTGGTTCGGCTGGATAGGCTTCAACGGCGGTTCCCAGCTAGGCCTGGCCAGTGTCAAGGACGCTGTGGCGATGAGCATAGTAATCGTCAACACCAACCTGGCAGCAGCGTCAGGCATCATTGTTGCCTTGGCGCTGGCACGCCCCGTTATGGGAAGAATTGACCTGTTCGCCATACTGAACGGGGCCATTGCGGGCCTGGTTTCGATAACCGCGCGGCCGGACATCACTGAACACTACTGGGCGGTGATCATCGGGGCCGTTGGCGGCGCCATCGTAATCCTGGGACTGAAGGCTATGGAAAAGGTGAAGTTGGACGACGTGGTTGGGGCGGTGCCGGCCCACCTGTTTGCCGGAATCTGGGGAACTCTCGCCGTAAGCATCACGGGAGGAGCGCCCATCCACATTCAATTGCTGGGCATCGTTTCCATAGGCGCAACCGTCTTCGCAGTCTCCTTTGGCTTGTGGAAACTAATGGAGCTGACCATCAAGACCCGCGTTTCCTACGACGTGGAGCGCCTCGGCCAGGACGCCGCGGAGTTGCGGATGGAGTCTTACCCAGAGTTTGTGCTTATGCCAGACTTCGAAGAGGACGACTAAGGCTAGCTAATCCACAAATAGACAAGAACATTCACCAATGGAAGGGTCGTCTACAGCTAAACTGTTCATCCCTTAGTCGCTCGTCTTATGCTGGGGGAGCGGCCAAATAAGATTTTATTCGTGATGATTCGTGGGTATTCGCAGAAAGCTACCGTTTCGGACCTCCCAGCGAAAGGTTGCCCACCGCCTTTACCCTTACTAGGGTGGCGTTGCTGGGAACGTAGGTCAGGGGGACTTCTTCGACGTCTACCACTTCAATACTGTTCGGGTCGGCACCGGCAGCAATTGCGCGGCTGATGGCTCCGGCGGAACAGTCGGCAATGGCCTCTTGCCGACCGCCGTTCTCCAGGGAATAGACCCTCTCCATTTGCCCGCTGACCTGGGCTATGGCGGCCCCAATGGCGTTGGCAACCCCGGCATGTTCCGGTCGCAAGACTTGCGAAGCCCCCGGCAGTGCATCGGAGAGCAGGATGCTTCCTCCTCCCACCAGCACCACCGGCACATCGCCGCCAGACAGCTTTACCCGGTCCACCGCGGTTTCCACCCGTTCCTGGATTTCGCGCAGGGCTCGCTCCACCAGGGAAACTGACAAGTCAGCAACAAGTTTGGCCGTTACCCACGTCAGCCCGACCGGCGGCCACTACCAGGTCGGTGGTTGTCAGAGTCTTACCGCCAAAGACCATGGATTCTTCCGTCAGCCGGTAGCCAACACTTTCCGGGCCCATTTGCCAGGGTTCCGGTGTGACGACGGTGCCGCCGCCCAAAGCGATGGACACCATATCCGGAATGCGGAAGTTGGTCCGGACGCCTGCCAGATGGACGGCTACCGCTGACTCCCGGGGGAATCCCTTGACCAGGGCCCCCACATCGGTAGATGTGCCCCCCACGTCCACCACTATGCCGTCGGTGACGCCGGACAGGTAGGCGGCGCCCCGCATGCTGTTGGTGGGACCGGAAGAGATGGTCAGGACCGGGAAACGGGAGGCAAAATCCGTGTCCATCAGGGTGCCGTCGTTCTGGCTTATGAACAGGGGAGCATCAATGCCCCAGCACCGCGAGGGCTTCTTTGATTCCCTGGATAGTGCGTTGCGCCACGTCGCCCAGGCAAGCGTTCAGGGCGGCGGCGCTTTCCCGCTCCAGCAGTCCCATACGCCCGTTATCGTGAGACAGGCAAACCCGCAGGTCGGGGGCTTCCTCGTGGACCAACGCCGCCGCCGTATTCTCGTGGGAGGGGTCAACGGGAGAGAAGACACCGCAAAGGGCAACGGCCCGGATACCCTGCCGGCGCATATCCTGGACAGCTTCCCGAAGCCCCTTACGGTCCAGGGGCGAAATCTCCCTGCCGTCGAACTCATTGCCGCCGCAGACCATGTAGGTGAGGCCTCCTATGGCCTCCTTTAGTTCGGTGGGCCAGTCCACCAGGGGAGGAAGCAGTTGGGTAGCCGGCAGGGACAAACGGATTACCGCCGTGGGCGCCAGGTCCCTGCGTTCCAACAGGGCGTTGGTGAAGTGGGTAGTACCCACCATTACCGCCTCAATGGAGTTGTTGGGGGCAACCTGCCTGAGGAGTTCGGCGACGGAGTTGACGATTCCAGAGGTTACATCAGCGGTTGTGGGCACCTTGGCGGCGCCGACCAACCGGTTCCCCGTCCATCATCACAGCATCCGTATTGGTGCCCCCTACATCCACGCCCACAAACATGCTATGAATCCGTTACCTTCAGAGGGATGTAGTCGGTCTCGTATCCAAAATGGTGGGGCCCCGCCTCGGCCAGGCCCTCAGGAGTGGTCCACAGGGCCGGAGCAGGAAAGCCAAGGATGGTGACCCGCAATCCGTACCGCATCAACTCAGTAGTTACCGGTTCACCGCCGTCAGTAGCCACGGCGCAGATCAGGTCGGGCACTGTGCAAACTATTTCACCATCCACCCGGGCGACCAGGTTTTCGTTCTGGAAGTCGATAACCATGCGCTGGCCGCCGTGGGAATCCAACCCGTCTATGGCAACCGTGCCCCTGGCGAAGCCGGCGGTGGTGCGGCGGTCCAGGTCCACTACCTTGCCCGCAAAGAGGACCTTTCCGGGGCAAGCAGCCAGGATGGCCTCCAGCGGGTCATGACCACTTTCCTGCGCCTGGTGTACCGCATTACCCAGATTCCGAGCCAGGGACAGGGTGTTGGGGACGGCGGTGCGGCGCACCTGCTCGGCGGACATGGGGGCCACGGCATAGCAGGCGACGCATCCCATTTGAATGGTGATGGCCCGGGCCAGCCGTTCGGCCCATGCCGGGGTTATGGTTTCCCGGATGATGACTGAGTTGCCCTTTTCGTCGGCGATGGCCATGGGGCAGCAGGGCACCCCGTAAACAAAGAAGGTCTTCATCTGAAACTCGGGGAAGGCGCGGCCCATGCCGTCGGCATCCACTACGGGAAGGCCCGCCTTGGCCGCCGCGATGAGAACTTCCACCGAGTTGCTGCCGCCAATTTCATTGGAAATAAGAACGGTGGCCCTTTCGCCGGTGAATTCCTCAATGGCTCGCAAAGCGTGATAGGACTGGAGGTCGCGCACCTTTTCGATGCCAACCGTGGGGGCGCCGATGCCGCCCACGCACACCACCCGGGCATCTTCGGGAACTTCCTCCGGAGCCAGCACGGTAACCGGACCCCAGCGCCGCAGGGCCTGCCGAGCCCGCAACTGCCCGATGTAGGGATTTCCGCCGCCGCCGGTGCCGAGAATGCCTGCGCCGGTGGTGATGGGAGACAGCGCCTCTTCAGTAGCTTGCCACATTCCGAAAAAGCCCCCAAAACAGGGTTGGAATCACTCCGCGGAGTGTAGGTACGGGGCTTGTGCCATGTCAACTAAAGGAAGCAAAAGGACAGGGGCAATTGACCGAGGGAAGACGGCAGGCCGCCGCTCTGGGCATGAAATCATGCGAGGCGTCGAAGGCTCTTCTGTTTTTATAGACAGGGTACGAGATTGGTAGAAGTAAAGAAAACGGGGCTGCCACAATAGTGGCAGCCCCGCTGGGATAGAGGCCATCCCTTCCCATCTTCAACGCGTGGCGCGAGAGGCGCGCCGTCCCTTGGCCCCTGGTGCAATCTATATTAGGTTTTGGGCATCCGATACCCGATGCCGTGCTCCGTAAAAATATAGGTGGGCCTTCTCGCGTTGTCCCCCAGCTTCTGGCGAAGGGTCTTAACGAAGGCCCTCAACAGCTGTATGTCGCCGGTGTATTCCTCGCCCCAGATTCTTCGCAGCAACTCTTCCTGGCTCAAGACCCTTCCTGCCTTGGTAGATAGTTCATAAAGGAGTTGGTATTCGGTAGCCGTCAGATGCACCTTCCGGCCCGACACGGTTACCTTGCGCTCCGGGTAGTTGATCACCACGTCGCCAATAACATACTCTTCTCGCCCACGGGTCTGGAAGGAATCGGACCGCTTACGGAACGAAGCCTTGATTCTGGCGATAAGCTCAGAGGGAGAAAAGGGCTTGACGATGTAGTCATCGGCACCCAATTCGAAGGCCCGCACAATGCTCTCATCGTCCCCTTGCCCGGAAAGAACTATGGCAGGCACGCCATAGCCCTGGGTGATCTTCTCAATAAGCTCAAAGTCCTGGCGGCGGGGCTCGGTCAGGTCCAGCAGGACCAGGTGAGGCTTCTCCTCGGCAATGAGGCGGTCTACATCCGCAAAATCAAGGGAGCCGATGGGTACGTAACCGACGCGGGAAAGGGTGCGCTGCACCGCTCCCAGCATCCGAGGGCTATCCATAACGGACAGGATTCTGGCCTTCGCAGCTTCAACCGGAAGAGAACGATCCAGGGAAGGTGAAGACGAACCCACCGGCAGGTTCTCCTGCTCGTCGGCCGCCGGGATTGTGAAGCCCAAAGTCATACCCTCCCCAGACTCACCGCATTCCACCCAAAGCGTTCCTCCGTGGGCATTCAAGACACCCTTACAGACGGCCAGGGACAATCTGTCGCGCCCGGAATTCCTTACCCCGCCCGTAATCTGGTTACGAGATATCTGCTGGATAGTCTCGTAAAGTTCAGTGTCCGGAGCCACCATTCCTTCCGTGGCAATTCTTACAGCAACTTGAGCGTCCTCCCGTCGGGCCCAGACGTTCAAGAGTGAAGACGGTGGAGAACACTTGAGGGCGTACAGCAACAGGGTATGAAAGGCCTGGCCAATCCGCTGCCTGTCGACCATTACTTTCGGCAAGTCAGCCTCAAGTTCCGCGTGGACTTCCCGACCCCTGTTTAACGCCTGGAACTCTCGACAAACATCTTTCAGCAGCGGTGACGGATCCAGAGACACCTGGTTTATGATCAAAGTCCCCGTTTCGATTTGGGTCAAGTCACTAAGACCGTTTATCTGGGCCCGCATCAAATCGGCCTGCAAGTCGATGATCTTCAAGAGCTGATGCGACTCGGAAGAACTTGACTGGGCAAGCACGTCAGCAAGGGCAGAAACCGAGCCCTTAATAGTGGACAGGGGCGTACGCAGTTCGTGGCTAACCAGGTTCAGAAAATCGGACTGAATCCGGTCCATTTCTTCCAGCGGAGATATATCCTGCGCACCAAACGCTATAGAGACAATTTCGCCTTCACTCGAATATATGGGAGCAGCATTTACCAGGGTATGTAAACTCTTGCCATTAGGAAAGTGAATAGTAAGCTCTTGTGCCCGAACCGTCTCACCGGTACCCATGACGCGGACCGCCGGAAACTCTTCCGGTGGAAGTTCACTTCCGTCGGGCCGCATCACGGTCAACACCTTCAATGCGTCATCAGGAGTAACTCCATCCAGACCCGAGAAATCGATAATTCGTTGGGCTTCCCTGTTGAGGGACGTCAGAACTCCTGTAAAAGCATCAAAGACGAACACTCCCATTGGCGAGGCTTCAATGAGGTTTTCCAGTTCGGTCTTCGCGCTGAAGAGCCGGTCGTACTCGCTGGCGTTAGACATGGCAAATGCAGCCTGCGCCGCAAATGTGCACACCATT